ACTGATGCTTTATAGTCTTTTGGTTGAGATGAACATCTTTCGGTTTATGTTAGAGTTTTTAATACTTCCACAATTACACAAACAAAGTTGGTTCTTTTGTAGAGAACATGAGCCTATGTATATACACCTTTGTTTTATTATTGATGTTTTATTTAGAAACCTCAGTTTTTTTTTAAGTGTTGAGTTTGATCATGAAAATTTCTAGGAATACCATGTCTTATATATTGATTGAAGCACTTTTACAGAAGATTAATAGTGTGATGCTGATAAAGTTATTCATCGAGCTCCATGCATGATGCATCTTATCTTCTTTGCTAACAAGCTCAATGAGGTGACATGTTGATCTTATCAACCTTTTCGTTTTGAGAAGCTATTGTCTGGAAAGAAAGAAACAGTGGAACATGTTAACAAACACGAGTGTGCAATAGGATACTCTTTTGTTTCAAGATCAACATGTCACCTCATTGATGGTTTCTTGTAAAGCTAAGAACTAAGGAAGAGAACTTGTTGTCTTTGATGGTTTCTTGTCACCATCCTTGCAAAATGTCTTTCCAGTGATTTGGTTAAACTCGAAGAAAAATCTTCCTTCATGACAGAATCAAAAATAAAGAAGACATGATTTATAAATCATAAACAACTACTCTTAGGAAACCTAACCATGAATAATATGCTGATAACTCTTCAATCCTGAATTTCAATCTATGTTCTCTAGAATAATCCAGAATCGTTACTGTGAATTAACTAGTTTGGAATCTAGAGATCGTAACCAAACAAACAAGTATCGATATTAACAATCATGGTCATTAAAAAGCATTATTTTGTGAGGACAATGTTGTGTTCCTCACTAATGCAACTCATGTATATTCAAATTTGGAGAATAAAATAGACGAGGTTGAAAGCAAGCATCTTCAACTCACTATGTTAGAGAAATTCAAGTTTGACATGAAGACGAATTCGATTGGTTATCTGTTGTTGTTGGTGTGTTATACTTGTTAAAATTCTAGAATTTCTTTTTGAAAATTATTTTTATATTGAATGTTGATGACTCAACTGACACGACAACCGACTCTTGATGAGTTAATGTATCTTTTAGCTAAGGTATATGAATTTGCACACTTTTTGTACTAGTTGTCTAGAATATACATCTACATACTAATGTCAATTACCATGATCGATTTTCTTGACTTTTATGATTTT